TACAAAATAAAAATGTCACAAAATGAAACTCCATTATTAAATCAATCAATCTTGAAATAAAGAATAAATAAATAAATAAAATAATCTTGGAGAAAAAAACAAACATTTCTATTTGTTTTATATTTCATGGGAACATGTATTTCTTTAATGGAATATTTATTAATAGTTTTTAAATAACACGATTTATTTATTTAATTTTGAATAAAATGACTTTCCACAGATTTGGGTCACAGTTAGGCAAAATATAATTTTTTATTTGGGTCGCTTTTGCCTGCAGTGTGAACATATTTCTGGCTGCAACACAACGCCACATCATCATCGCTCCAGGTGTTCATTTCATGAGAATAGGCTCACTTTTTTCTTCTCCAAATATACCTGATAGCAACCAAAAATGTTTATTTTTACGTTCATTAGTTCACAGTGCTTTTTTTTTAATGCGTTAGAATATTTTTATTATTCAGTGGCAAACTTTTATGCTGAATGTGCAGTGAGGATAGTATTATATAATACTGTATGTGTTGTGTCTTGGACACTCGGGTGAAGAGAGGGGCGGAGCTGTCAACTGATCACTACCTGGTGGTGAGTTGGCTCCGATGGTGGGGGAGGATGCCGGTCAGACCTGGCAGACACAAACGTATTGTGAGGGTTTGCTGGGAACGTCTGGCAGAGTCTCCTGTGAGACGGAGTTTCAACTCCCACCTCCGGGAGAACTTTGAACATGTTCCGAGGGAGGTGGGGGACATTGAGTCTGAGTGGACCATGTTTCGTGCCTCTATTGTCGAGGCGGCTTACCAGAGCTGCGGCCGCAAGGTTGTCGGTGCCTGTCGCGGCGGCAACCCTCGAACCCGATGGTGGACACCGTCGGTGAGGGATGGTGTCAGGCTGAAGAAGGAGTCCTATCGGGCCTTTTTGGCCTGTGGGACCCCGGAAGCAGCTGATGGGTACCGGCAGTCCAAGCGACATGCGGCTCGGGTGGTTGCTGAGGCAAAAACTCGGGCATGGGAGGAGTTCGGAGAGGCCATGGAGAACGACTTCCGCACGGCTTCGAGACGATTCTGGTCCACCATCCGGCGTCTCGGGGGGGGGGGGCGGTATGCCACCAACACTGTTTTTAGTGGGAGTGGTGTGCTGCTGACCTCAACTCGGGATGTTGTGGGTCGGTGGGCGGAATACTTTGAAGACCTCCTCAATCCCACCGGCACGTCTTCCACTGAGGAAGCGGAGCCTGGGGACTCTGGGTCGGGCCCTCCAATCTCTGGTGCTGAGGTCACCGAGGTGGTTAAAAAGCTCCTCGGTGGCAGGGCCCCAGGGGTGGATGAGATTCGCTCAGAGTTCCTTAAGGCTCTGGATGTTGTAGGGTTGTGTTGGTTTACGTGACTCTGCAATATTGCGTGGACATCGGGGGAAGTTCCCCTGGATTGGCAGACCGGGGTGGTGGTCCCCCTATTCAAAAAGGGGGACCGTAGAGTGTGTTCCAACTACAGGGGAATCACGCTCTTAAGCCTCCCTGGTAAGGTCTATTCGGGGGTTCTGGAGAGGAGGGTCCGTCGGATAGTCGAACCTCGGATTCAGGAGGAACAGTGCAGTTTTCGTCCTGGCCGTGGAACACTGGACCAGCTCTACACTCTCAGCAGGGTCCTGGAGGGTGCGTGGGAGTTTGCCCAACCAGTCTACATGTGCTTTGTGGACTTGGAGAAGGCGTTCGACCGCGTCCCTCGGGGAACCCTGTGGGGGGTACTCTGGGAGTATGGGGTACCGGGCCCTTTGATACGGGCTGTTAGGTCCCTGTATGACCGGTGTCAGAGCCTGGTCCGCATCGCCGGCAGTAAGTCGGGCTTGATCCCGGTGAGAGTTGGACCCGCCAAGGTTGCCCTTTGTCACCGATTCTGTTCATAACTTTTATGGACAGAATTTCTAGGCGCAGCCAAGGTGTTGAGGGGATCCGTTTTGGTGGCCTTAGGATTGTGTCTCTGCTTTTTGCTGATGATGTGGTCTTATTGGCTTCATCAGATCGTGATCTACAGCTTTCGCTGAGCGGTTCGCAGCCGAATGTGATGCGGCCGGGATGAGGATCAGTTCCTCCAAATCCGAGGCCATGGTCTTGAGCCGGAAAAGGGTAGAGTGCCCTCTCCGGGTCAGGGAGGAGGTCCTACCCCAAGTGGAGGAGTTCAAGTATCTTGGGGTCTTGTTCACGAATGAGGGAAAAATGGAACATGAGATCGATAGGCGGATAGGTGCAGCGTCTGCAGTGAAGCGGGCGCTGTACAGGTCTGTCGTGGTGAAGAGAGAGCTGAGTCAAAAGGCGAAGCTCTCAATTTACCGATCGATCTACGTTCCCACCCTCATCTATGGTCACGAGCTTTGGGTTGTGACTGAAAGAATGAGATCTCGGATACAAACGGCCGAAATGAGTTTTCTCCGCAGTGTGTCTGGGCTCTCCCTTAGAGACAGGGTGAGAAGCTCGATCATCCAGGAGGGACTCGGAGTAGAGCCGCTGCTTCTCCACGTCGAGAGGAGCCAGTTGAGGTGGCTTGGGCATCTGTTTAAGATGCCTTCTGGACGCCTCCCTGGTGAGGTGTTCCGGACACGTCCCACCGGAAGGAGGCCCAGAGGAAGACCCAGGACACGCTGGAGGGACTATGTTTCTCGGCTGGCCTGGGAACGCCTCGGGATTCCCCCAGAAGTGCTGGCCCAAGTGGCTGGGGAGAGGGAAGTCTGGGCCTCCCTACTTAGGCTGCTACCCCCGTGACCCGACCCCGGATAAGCGGAAGAAAATGGATGGATGGATGAATACTGTATTATACTGTATTACATTATTATTGTTTAGCATATATCTTAGATCCTTGAATACCGTTTCTTTTTATACTTTATATTTTTGCTATTATTGGGTGTAACTGGGACCTTAAGTACACAATGGCATCCAACCTCATGTACCACATGTAATGCGAATGACAATAAAGAACCTTGAATCTTGAGGACACAGAATTTCTTTTTTACTTGTCATTTACATTTTTGTCAAAGTAAAGCTATGCACATAACTTAGTTAGTCTGTATTTTATAAAAGTCTCCTGAAACATCCTACATTTGATTATTTTTGAAAGTGTTCTTTGTCTTTTTAAAATTCAAGCCTGATCTCCACATTTTCTTTTGGAATGATATATTTAAATTTAATTACAGATTTAGAATAAAGCTATTTTAAAGGCTTTGTTTCCACCCATCCATTTTCTTCCACTTATCCGGGGTTGGGTCGTGGGGGTAGCAGCCTAAGTAGGGAGGCCCAGACTTCCCTCTCTCCAGCCACTTGGTCCAGCTCCTCCGGGGGAATCCCGAGGTGTTCCCAGGCCAGCCGAGAAACATAGTCCCTCCAGCGTGTCCTGGGTCTTCCTCTGGGTCTCCTCCCAGTGGGATATGTCCAGAACACCTCACCAGGGAGGCGTCCAGGAGGCATCCTAACCAGATGCCCAGACTTAGTTTATCGTCTTAAAAACTCTTTTTAAGAGTCACTCATTTTCATTTGAACTCTGTCTTTTGCCTACTGAGAAGAAAACATATCTGTCTTAGGCTGGTGAAGATTCTCAGTCATCCAGGACATGATGACCTCTACATTGGGGAAACTAAACAGCCTCTTCACAGACGCATGACTCAACACAGGAGAGCCACCTCCTCTGGACAAAATTCCTCAGTTCACCTCCACCTCACAGATAAGGGACACTCTTTTGAGGACCAAAATGTGCACATTTTGGACCGAGAACACAGATGGTTTGAGAGGGGGGTGAAGGAAGCAATTTATGTAAAAAGAGAAAAGCCGTCTCTTAACAGAGGAGGAGGCCTCAGATTTCCACTTTCAAAAACCTATAATGCAACTTTAAAACAGATTCCCAGCCGGTTTTCACACCTGATGGGAACAGAGGGGCCTCGTCAGTGAATTAGAGGAACAAAGACCTACTGTTTAGGTGTGAACTGCCAATCTACATATGTGTGTGTGTCTTATGTGTGTGTGTGTCTTATCTCACTCAGCCTTATAACCTGTATCTCTCACTCTCTGCTCATTGAATTGAGAAAGCTCCTCGGATGAGGAGCGAAACGTCTTCTGTTACAAATAAAGTCCAGTTGTTTTTGTATTGAACGCTTTTTGAATGTCTGTCTTAGGTTGAAGTCAACTGTTGAAGTATTTGTAAAACTCTGAACTGTTTGCATTATTTGGCCTTTTCCAGAGGCTTTAGATAACACCTAATAAACATGATATCCTAGAACTTGTCTTTCTGTTCAGTGCCCTGAGACGACTTCTGTTGTGACTTGGCGCTATATAAATAAAATGAATTGAATTGAATTGTTTCTTGTGAAACTTCTGTGTAAAGACAAATTGGTTTCAAAAGCTTTTAGGCTTAAATTTCAGCTGTTTGAATGTTTCTGTTTAGGCTCTGAAGCAGCATCAGACAATGGCACCATGCGTTTCATGCACTCATTGTTTTTTTGCAGGAAAAACTTTTCTCTAGTTTATCTTTGTGTTTCTTTTCATTGCGTTATATTTGATATCTCTTTTGCTGCTGTGAAAAATAAAATTTCCCGTTTGTTTGGTTATCCCTTTGTCTGTCTATCTTGTTTTCAGTTATTAATAGAGTCCAACAAAGTTAAGTCAGGTCATCAGGACAGTTTATTTTGTTTTGTTGAAAGTTTTCGTCCTTAATCCAAAGGACGTCGTCAGGACAAAATGTTTAAAAAAAAAAAAAGAAACAGTCCAGATGACCTGACTTAACTTTGGTGGATTTTTTACCTGGATTATTGAGCATGAACTTTGATATAAATAGAGTCATGGCTGAAAAGGCTTTAACCAAACAATAGGTAATGTATGAGTAGTTTATGTTGTAAAACATCACACAAGCTTGACTGTAAATTTAAAATATTTCTGTGTATGTTAGTATTTGATTTAATAAGACAAAATAATTTTGTCTCCCTTGGAAAGTAAAGCTTTTGTGTAAAAAAAGTGTGCTTGCACGTACTTTTGCACAGCTGCCTCCAGCTGTCTGATGGTGAGTTCAGAAGCTGCTGAGGCAGACAGCACCTCCTGGAGTTTCTGAACAGCAGTGTTGAGTTCCTTTTCTCTGTAATCCAGGCTGCTTTTCAGACCGTTCATATGTCGCTCTGCCTGCACACACTGGTCTTCACTTTCTTCAAGCTAAACAACAGAAACAGAACATTCAGCTTAAAAACAAAACTTAAAATGGGCAAAAAGACAAGCTGTTTTAGTTTATGACTAACAGCTGTAGTGGATATAAAAGGTCCCAGTATAATACTAAGCTCTATTTCGTATAGGCTTCGCCCTTTAAGGCTGTCGCTTGTGGGTTTTATCCCGTCACGCAAAGCGTTGCACTGAAAAACCTTAGTCCACGCCCACCTGTCGTGTGGGCCCCACCCGGTCCATATAAATTACGTTCAGAGCGGGTAATCGGCTCCCATTTTTCTTCAGCAAGCAACTAGCACTAATCTTCCAACAACATGATGTCCAGCACCAACACCATCCGCCTGTGCCCGTCCTGCAAGACCGGCTACATGCTGAGCTTTGACAAGAATGACACCTGCGAAAGATGCCTGGGTCCCCACCACGCCGACCTTGACTCCTCCTGCTGCCTCTTGTGTCCTCCTTCCCCCTGAGGAGAGGCAGAGGCGAGCAGCCTTGTTTAAGGCTAACATCGAGGAGTGCCTCTCCGTGGCGGGGGACTGTTCGCTGGACAACGCCATAGACTTTTTTGAAGTCGGGTCTCGGAGCGAATCGGATGGTTCCTCTGGGACAGGCAACGTCAGCAGCAGCCCTGCTGCTCATTCCCTCCCGGAGAGCGTAGTGTTGGAACGGGAGGGGCCGAGCGGATGCTCACCCCTCCCGGGCCTTTCCGCATCAGCGACCACACCGCTCCCTGACGTCGGTACCCTCCTCTCGGAGCTTCCCGGCATAATCCAGGAGGCGGCTGACTCAAAGGGACTTTCCGTCCCTCTCCTCCCCCCGCCCAGATCGGATGATCTAGTGGGAAGGTTTGGCTCCACCCCGGCTCGCTGCCCTGACCCCATCTGGCCTCGTTTCCCAGCAGTGACGTCCTGCTGAAACGAGGCTGCAGCCGGACCTGGTAAATTGAGAGTGCCCGTCTCTCCCTTCGCGCTCATCACCAAAGTGGAGGGGTTTACTGAGCGGAATTTTCCCTCGGTACCCCCCTGGAGCCAAGCCTGGCGGAAGCTCTCGGAGCAAAAGTGTCCAGGTTGGACCAGTATCCAGTGCCTCGGGGGAAGCATGACCAGACGGTGACGTCACTCTCCAACCGAGCTCACCATTGTGCGTTCCAAGCGGCCGCAGCGAACAACAATGTCGCTCTGCTGGCCTACAGCATCTCAAAGAGGCTGGAGGAAACAGACCTGCCTGAGGAGACAAAGAGCTCACTCTGCAAGACATCTGACGTCATCCTCAACCTGTGCGCCTTCTCTGCTGTCTGCCTGTCTCGCATCGCCACCTGGATGACAATGATCCAGCAGTCCACCGAGCTTCGACACTCCCCCTCCCTGCCAGAGAAACTGCAGAAGGACCAGCTTGAGAGCCCCATCACAACAGACACGCTGTTTGGAGCCAATTTCAAGGCCATGCTAGAAAAATCAAAGAAGACGGAGGAGATATCGGAGACTGTGCGCCACCTGAAGAATCTGCACTCCCCCCCCCACTGGAAGGATCGTCGCGGCCAGAGGCAATAGCAGAGACGTTCCACAGCTGCAGCAGCGTCCTCCCAACCCGCTCCGCCGCCAGCCCTTCCCACCAGAGAACAGTCCTTCTCATCCCGGCAACCAGCGGCTCAGAGTTTTCCCAGAGACCGCCAACAGGCGCCGCCCTGGAACAACCAGCCGCAGGACTCATGGAGGAGAAGATTTAAGAAATGACTCCTTGCGGAGGAAGTGTGTGTATGCAATGATGACACGAGTTTTGAAATAAAATGAAAACATCATTCAAAGAATAAAGTGTCTGATTTCAGCCTAACTGTCAGTTTGAATGATCTCAGAGTGGCTTCTCTTCACACATCCTCCACACAAAACGAGCCGGTGTCCTCAAAACAGGTTTTTAAAAGTCACCGCAGCTCAAGAAAACACACAGAATGCTCGCTTGACACAACAGCAAAAAATGAATGTTTTCAGCAGACCGAGCCCCAGGAGAAAACCTCGCTCTCAGTCCAGGGTGTGTCCTGCCCCTTCTGACCACAGCGGAGACAAACGCGTGTCCCAGCGGCAGTGACAGACCCCACCCAAGCGACGTCGCATTGCTGAGGGCGTGCACACCTCCCCTCAGCGCACGTCCCGCAGCCCGAGCGCGGTACAGAGGCTTTGACTTGGCTGACGTCCGTAAAAGACATGACGCATCACAAAAACGCGTGCCCGCTCCCAGAGCGTTATGCGGAGTGGCAGCGAGTGTGCTCCCTGAATAGCTGGATGAACCGTCTTATCAGCAAGGGTTACACGCTGCAGTTCGCAGCTCAACCCCCACCGGTCAGAGGGATTATAGAAATGGTTCTGTCATCTTCAGAACAGATCTCATCCCTTCATGCAGAAGTTCAGGAACTACTGGTAAAAAATGTAATTTACAGGGTTCCCAATGAAGAGGAAAACACAGGGTTTTACTCACGTTACTTCCTGGTTCCGAAACAGACCGGAGGGATGAGACCCATCTTAGATTTATTCATTTTTAACAAGTCGATTATGGAAAGACAGTTTCACATGTTGACAACCAGACAGCTGTTGAACAACATTCACCAGAACGACTGGTTTACCTCCATCGATCTCAAAGACGCTTATTTTCACATTCCAATCATTCCAAAGCACAGAAAGTTCTTGCGCTTCTCCTTCCAAGGGACCCAGTACCAATACAACAGGCTTCTGTTTGGTTACTCCCTCGCACCACGCACGTTTTCAAAATGTGTGGAGATGGCCCTGCAGCCGCTACACAGAGCAGGGATGAGAATTCTGTTTTACCTGGACGATCTGCTGTTGCTGACCCGATCCAGGCAGGAAGCAGCGGCGCAAACCAAAGCGCTGACGTCACACCTGTTAAATCTCGGCTTCGCCATAAACTAGGAGAAGAGCTCGATTCTCCTGGCCCAGATGATCGTTTATCTGGGAGTGAAGCTAAACTCTGTCACTATGAGGGCCCGTTTATCACAAATGAGAGCCAAAACTCTAAAAGACCAGCTCCGCCACGTAAAACCCGGCAGTGACAGCTGTCTCCATCATGAAACTGTTAGGAATAATGTCGTCAGCTCACGCGGTGGTCCCGCTGGGCTTACTTCACATGAGACATATCCAGAGGTGGTTTGCTCGTCTGTGCATAGATCCAGTAAGTCAGAAGAGGCAAATTATTTCTGTGCCCCCCTCTATGGGAATCGACCTGAAACATTGGGGAAATCCCCTCACGTTGTCGGAGGGAGTCCCTGTCAGCAGACCTAAGTTACACGTCTCAGTTTTCACAGACGCATCCCTGTCAGGTTGGGGAGGAACGTGCCTGTCACGGGCGGTGGGGGCGCTGTGGCCAGCTCACACATTAGCTCACATAAATGTTTTGGAATGTCGCATGGTTTTGAATGTGGTTTAACATTTTGTTCCTGCCTTGCAGAATCAGCATGTTCTGATCCACACAGACAACAAAGTAACCGCTGCTTACATAATCCGGCAGGGGGGCGTGCGCTCAGCCCAAATATTACACATTGCAAGACAGCTGCTGTGTTGGGCACACAAAAACCTGCTCTCCATCAGAGCAGTGTACATCCCCGGCGTCCTGAACAGAGGAGCGGACATAATGTCCAGGGGCGGTCCTTGCAACGGGGACTGGAGTCTCTATCCCAAGCTGATTTCTCAGATTTGGGAAAAATTTGACAGAGCAGAAGTAGACCTATTTGCTACATGGGAGAACGCCCAGTGTCAACTATGGATCTCACTGAGCCCACGGGACGATCCACCGTTAGGAGTAGACACGTTTGCCCACAGTCCGTGGCCCAAAATGCTCCTTTACGCTTTTCCCCCAGTCCCTCTAATATCACAGTTTCTGAACCGAGTTCAGGAGGAAGAACTGTCTGCCATTCTGATAGTCCCCGAGCGCGTGAGCGCTCTGTAGTTTCCAATCCTGCAATTTCTGTTATCAGGTTGTCCGTGGAAACTGCCGTGGAGGGACAATGCTCTCCTCCAGGCGGGAGGAGTGATCAGGAGCCACTCAGAAATAGGCCAGCATCTTTGGGTCTGGCCGCTGACCGGATACGCTTAGAGAAGATGGGTCTCTCTCAAGAAGTACTGCGCACAATCCAAGATTCACGCGCTGCCTCCACCACAGCGCTGTACACATCAAAGTAGACAGCTTTCAACACTGGTGTATGGAAAAAGGTGTAGAGGCCATCTCATATCCACTAGGTGGTGTGCTGTCCTTTCTGCAGCAGCTGATGGACAGAAATCTGGCGTTCAGCACAATTAAAACGTATGCTGCAGCCAACTCTTCCTGTCACGAAGGCTTCGGTGACAGAACAGTTTTTAGTCACCCGCTGATGAAGAGTTTTCTAAAAGGTGTTCAGAGACACAGACCCATGTCAAGTCCACTAGCTCCACAATGGGACTTAATGGTTTTGCAAGCCCTGATCAAAGCCCCGTTCGAGCCGTTAGATCAGGTTTTGATAAAATTCTTGTCACTTAAAACAGCCCTGCTGTTGGCTTTGACATCTGCAAAGAGAGTGAGTGATTTATCTACCCTCTCTGTTGCTCTGCCATCCCTCAGGATTCAGGCTGATGGCAGTTCAGCTGATCTAAGACCTAACCCAGCGTTCATGCCTAAAAACATCACAAGCTCATTTAAATCGAGAATGATAACGTTGGAGGGTTTTTTCCCTCCTCCCCACAAATCAGAAGAAGAAGCATCTTTTCATCTCCTCTGCCCTGTGTGTGCGTTGGCATGTTACATAGCACGCATGGCCACACTGCATCAGACTCAACATTTGTTTGTGCATTATAAGAGACGCCTCTGCAGGTCGCCCTTTATCCACCCAGCGCCTGTCACACTGGCTGTGTGAGGCCATTTCTGAAGCTTACAGAGCATCAGGTTTAGAGCCCCTTGACAAACTCAGGGCACACTCGACCAGAGGAATCGCATCCTCGACAGCCTTGCATAATGGT